AAGTTCCGTACATATTTTTGTATTTTGGGGTAATCATATATGGATTGAGGGCTTGTCGATTAAGTTTTGTATAAATACGTCTAATTATTAATTCTTCCTTGCCATAATTTTCAAGTAGCAGTAGGTATTTCTCTTTGTCGTGTACTGTTAGTATTTTGCAATGATGGAAAAGACCATAAGGGTTTTTTTGTAATATTTATGTTTTATTTTGAGAGGGGTGATACATTTAAGGATGCGCAACTGTAGCTCGTATATTTTTTCAAGGTGGGTTTTATAAGTGCGTACGTAACTCCTCAACCCGTACGAGACTATTGATTCGCCGAGTGCATTATATAGTAACAGTAACATCTGGTAAGGTACTTTACTCTTGATGAGATAAAATTTTGCTAGGATTGCTCGTAACCTATCGCATACAGATTCAATGTGATCAGTGCATTTCATACGATCTTCAATTATTAAACATAAATTCCTAAACTTTTTTTCTATTTCAATTTGGAGACATTCACAGTTGTTCTTATGGGCTGAATTTTGGATATAATGAAGACATGTGTTATTATAAGCTTTTAGAGTAATGCTATTGTAACGAACCCCCCCCCCATCTTTTTTCTTTTCCACTATATATCCACTTATACTTGTATTTCTTTAGAATCTATATCTGTAAGATATATAAATATATCTAATTTACGTGACCAGTATAACTTGATCTTTCTAAAGGTTTAAATATAGGCCGTTTAATAAATTTATGGCGTGATCGTCTTAGTTAGGACCCTTTTTTACGTTGTGTTTGTATAGTAACTTAGTTCTTTTAGGTGTATCTTGGAAGAATGAATATTCACGAGAGCAATCGAAAGCTGTTGGTAGAGTCTTATAAGCTAAAGAACCCCGTTCACGAAGACAGAGCTCAAAAAAGGTTAAGAACAATAAATTGTCCCTATTCCACTTGTATCTGGTTCACAACAGTCAATTCCTTATTAATTAATCCCTTCCCGCTTGGAAAAGGCTCACAATATTTATATCAAATACCAGTTACAAGGGCTTCGCTCTCCCACATTTTAAAAAAAATGTGGAGGAGGTACACGGCCCCACACACGCCGCGCACGGTGAGCGCCAACCATTTTAATGCGCTCCCCCCAAGGGTACGCAAAGTTGGGAACTGGACCGTAGTCCACAGCAAAATAACTGGCGAACCAGTAAAAGAGGACTTGGCCCCTTGATAGTGCGTAAGCACAAACATCGACCGAAGTCGCGCATGTCAATGCGTGTAAACGCCATACAGAATACGATCAAATCCAGTCACAGTGAATGTACGTCACACGGGTTAGGCAACAATAGGCACACTGACCATAAAAAGCCTTCCGTGAGCGCCACCACCTGCCAGACCGCCGTTCCTGTAGACGTGATGTAAGTGTAAGGCATCACCACCAATTGCATGGTCAGCACGGCCAATTGGCCGCAGAGCGTGTCATGAGTCTACCGCTCACCTCAAGGGAATGGGGTCCCACGTTGCGCGGCTTTCGGCCGCAGCCTTGAGAGCCTCCTCAGATTCTCCCTCCAGCTACCACCCGCATGAGGTCAACACATATGCTCCACCGACCAATACAATGGCAGATATAGCCAATAGGCAGTTATAAGATAATATTAATAATTCGCCATCAGAAAGGGTTTGTGTCTCTGACGTTGAGTATATGCATTTTTCGATCATGTTTGTCTCACCCACCAACAAGTTGCCTTCAATCTCTCAAAGGTGGGAACTTTATAGAGATATATTATTAAGTTGTTATATAAAACATCATGGAGGGCAGACAGTCTGCAGCCCCGCAATGAAGGGACCCGACTTGGGCAAAGCTACTTAGGTTGTGAGTCAAACCAAGACGCAGAGAGCGCCATTGAGAATAGCGACCCGCCAAACAACCATCGTAGAGACGCAACGCTACAGAATGCAACAAGCATCAATACGACTATCGTCGGGCTTACACCATCCCAAGGTCCCCCATACAGTCCCAGCAGACATCACCACCCGCATACCTCCATCGACCAGAACCACAAGATGCATCGAATCAGGTGCAGCACACCCGCAGATCCATCACAAGACACAATACTGCAAGTAGCAGTAAGCATCAATGCAACTATCATACGGATGGCGCCCCCTCACAACACACCCACATGATCCCTATCGACTTTGGTAACAAAATTTGATAATGTTGTTAACTAAAAATACCACCAACGTATCATAGTAGTACGGTACTAAGACGTCAGTAGCCAAAACTCCACGTATCATAGCGCTATTGCACTAAGACATGAAGTTGAGTATGCTTGCTGCACTTAAAAGTACTACCAAACACACTCACCCTAATCCGAAAGATAGCCGACGTATCATAACGCTATGCGCTAAGACGCCGCCCACAACCGGTAGGGGTGTGCGATGTCCACGGGCAAGTCGTATTGCTACAACAAACCCGCTTACCACCGGCACTAAGATGATATGTCTAGGACACATCGGTTAGTGAGTCCAAGTTTACCTCGGTCTCAGAGGCTGCGAAGCAACCTACACGCCACTATAATAATCCTTTTCAAGTCCCATTTCTTTCAATATAATGCTTTTACATATTTGAGACCTTCCACATATTTGCTTTATTTCATAGACCATACTACTGTATGTCTTATTCATATGGGACTTCAAGTCATAACTCTGCTATCATAATGCTTATGCATCATAGAGACCTTCTATATTAATGCTTTGGTTCGTTAGACCTTACTATGTTAAGTCCCTAATATAGGACTAGTCATTGTGCAACCTTAGTACTAGCAGTCGGTCAGCCGACCACCCCATATATATGTACAACATTGGGTATGTGTCTCCGACAACGCCCCAATATAAGGGAACATTACAAGAACACGTTCATTAACTTAGAAATTTTCCAATTATTACACGAACTCCTTCATCAACTTAGAAAATTTTAATCCATTTTTTCTATAATATTACAAATGTTATTTATCTTTGTTATTGCAATATAATCGCCTTGTATTTATATGATTTGATATATTTTGAACATTTTAAGCAGGTTTTTAATAAATTTAGAGATTTTTTGAGACATTTTATGCGTTTACTAATATATATAATATTCAATATTCCAAATGGATATTTTTGAACTCTATGCTTATTATTTGCATTTTATTGTTTAAATTATAATTTCTAAGACATTTTTAAATGTCTGTATAATGAATTTAATTATTATTTATTAATAATAATTATGAGGCGTCACAATCCACCCCCAAATTTTATGTTAATGATCCACATAGTGGAGTCGTTAATATAAAATTTAATATTTTGAGAGCATATACACTACACTCAAGTAATTATTTATATATCTGTTCTTTCCTCTTTTAATCTGTTACAATACGGCATATGTTATCAAATCCCCCTGCCCCAGAGAATGGCCGCCACCAACACCCCTTCAACCACAATTATCACAATGTGATAACACCATAATTCAAGTTATTGTATATCGTGTTGTTAATAAAGTTTGCAGTCAATTGTCGATTTCTTATTTTATTAATTTATCTTTAAATCTTTGAAACATTATTTCGATAGTGTCACACTTTATGTGCATACAATCCAGTTTGATATTTGTTGAGGTCAGTTCGATACCACATAGGATAAATGTGTTTGAGCCATTCGCCCTGACCCAACTCCCATATTTATTTAATAAAAATGATTAAAAAATTATCTTACGATCTATATTTACAACTCTTCATTATATATTAATAATGTTCTACTATCATATAACAAATCTCTTGCTCATAACTTTAATAATTTTAGACCTTTAACTTAAACAATTATTTCCATGGGCCACCCACAAAACCCTTTTATGTTACAATATTTATTTAATTACTCTAATTTATACAAAAATAAATTATTATTTAAAATATTTTAATAAGTGAATAGCATTGAAAATTCCTCTAATTTCGTTTGTCTCTGGATTTGCTAAGGTATATACATTGTCAAATGGTACGGCTGCTATTACATAAGGTCCTTCATATGCCAAATTGAACTTACTCATAACTTTATTATCAGCGTCTGATCTACTAGATCTTGAAATTTTTACTAAGTCACCAATATTATATTTTATTAATCTATTTCGCTTATCAAATTTTGTGTTTCTTATTCGACTTGCCTCTTTTAAATTTTTACGCACTTGTTGTCTAATTTGTTCGACATTATGTTTGTCTTTACTTTTAGAAATTACTTTGTCAAAAGACATCTCATTAGACTCACCATAAAGAATCTCACAAGGCGTGAAGCCTGTACTATTGTGATAAGAATTATTATACAATTCTTCTAATTTCGGCAATATTAACGCCCAATCTTTGTGGTTAGTATGACAAAGCGTCCTAAATAATCTGCTCAACTCTTTATTTACTCGCTCTGTTGTATTTGGTCTAGGATTTCTAACTGTGGTATATATTGGCTTTATATTTAATTCACTCATTGATTGTTTCCAGTGATTACTTACGAACTGTTTTCCATTATCTGTCATTATTGCCTTGGGCTTTATAATCTCAACAAAATGCTTTACTTTTGTTACAACAGACTTTGCTGTTGACTGTTTTAAAGGATATAATTTGATAAATTTACTGAATGAATCTTGAATGACAAATATGAAAGTGTACCCAAAGGTACCTGATACAAGCGGTCCATATAAGTCTGCCATGACTATATCGCCAATGTTTTCTGTTATTATAGATTTGCAGGGACCCACATATGTTATATTGCTTTTCTTAGATAACTGACATAAATGACAAGCCCTTAATTGGTTTTTAATATCTTTTGTTAAACCTTTCCAAAAGAATCTGTCTCTCACATATTTAATTACCTTATAGGGTCCTTGATGACCCATTTCGACATGCACTTGATTTATAATATCTTGTCTCAACGCTTTAGGTAAATATATTACTTCTTGTAAATTCGTTTTGTAATATAATACATCATTTTTCAAACTTTACCTTTTAAATTTATTGTTTTGTTTTATTATGGAAGTATTTAATGTCTTTAACTTTTCAATAATAGCCAACGACTCTGAATCTTGTAATTGATATACTGATAAGGATTTTAATTTTTCTATCAACTCAATATTCGGTTCGCTCTCTGTGTAAGCAATTTCTAAACTATTATTTTTTTCCTCTTGTATTAAATCGCCATCAGGAGGATAACGTGATAGCACATCTGCAACAATATTACGTCTACCCGATATATGCTGTACTTCATAATTAAATTGTTCTATATACAAAATCCATCGGGTTACTCTACCATTGAATAACTTCATATTATTAATAAACAATAATGCTTTATGATCAGTTAGTATTATTACTTTACTGCCCCGCAAATATGTTTCAAATTTCTTTAGGCAGCTTATTACAGCATAAAACTCTTGTTCAGTAACAGACCAATTTAATTCGGGGCCTTTTAAGGCTTTACTATGATAGCCTAAAATTCTCATTTCATTATTATCATCTATCTGATATAGTACTCCGGCCATACCCACACCGGAACAATCTGTTTGTAAATAATACGGCTTATTAAAGTCTGGATGATGCAATTGTATTGTATTAATAAATTGTTGTTTTATAAAATCAAATGCCTTCTGTTCTTTACCGCTCCATTGGAACTTTCGTCCCTTTTTAAGTAATTCACAGAGCGGTATTATGCTCTCGCTGTAATTTGGTATAAACCTTCTATAAAAATTGCATAGACCTAAAAAGGCCCTTAATTGTTTAATCTTTTTAGGTGCTGGAAACTCTTGGATCGCTCGAATCTTATCGGGATCTGTCTTTATGCCTTCTGTTGAAATTATAAAACCCAGCATTTTAATTTCTTTACAAATAAATTCACATTTCTGCAAGTTACACGTTAAGCCAGCTTTGTTCAATTTACTTAAAACAATATCAATGTGCTCCAAATGTTTATCTAACGTTCCTGTTGTAATAATGGCTAGATCATCTAAATAGTTCACACAAAATTCTTGGACTTCTGGTCCTAATATTAAATTCATGGCTCTGCTAAAGCTTCCTACTGATGTTTTTAATCCTTGCGGCAAAACATTATATACATATGACTTTCCATTGAATGTGAATCCAGTATATTTTCTACCATCTTTATTTATCGGAATTTGAAAATATGCATTATTTAAGTCAATGGTAGTGATATAATTCGCTCCGTGAAATGAATTCAAAACATCTAATTGTATAGGTGGTTTCTCTGTTTCTGCAACCATTTTCTTATTTATGCTTCTGGCATCAAGCAAAACTCTAATTGAGCCGTCTTTTTTAAGAGTGAATGTCAATGGACTACTGTAAGGCGTTGATGTCCTTGTGATGATACCAGCTTGTTCCATTTCATTTAACTTTTCTTCCATTTTCGATCTATATGCATATGGAATGGGATAGGACCTAGTAACTATAGGTTCATCATCGATCATTTCAATTTTATGCTCATAGCAATTGGCTCTTCCCAATTTGCTCGAAAACATATTCTTATGCTTTTCCAAAACCTTACTAAGTTTTGCCCTTTCAGAGACCTCCAATGTAGATCCTATGTTTATATTTATTAAGGGATCATCGGTACATTGTTTGATGCAGTTATTATGTAATACAGATTTATTATTATATTTGAAAGGTATAAAGTAGTCTTTGTTTTTCACTTTAAATTCTATTCCAACAGTAGTATTTCTCAAATCAATCAATATTTTATTTCTCTTGAGCCAGTCAAAGCCTAATATTAAAGGTCTTATTAAATTACCTACAATTAAAGTTTGTGTTTCAAAGACTACTTCATCTATCTTTATAGGCAATATGATCATCTGTTGTATTTTTGTGCTGCGCTGCCCAACAGCACCTTTTATTTGCATTGCTTTAACTGGCATTATTGATATTTTACGATTATTATCTTTAATTTGTAAATATAAACTTTCTGAAATGCATGTAACATCGCTCCCAGTGTCGAGGAGCGCGTCTATTTCTTTGTCAAATATTGAAACTTTAATTTCAGATCTCATATTCCCTATAAATTCCCTTTGATATTTATCTTCGTCTTCCTCGAAGACGGTTTGCACGAATAACTCCGTTATGGGCAAGTCCGACCTGGCTTTTAAGGTGTTTAATATGCTATTTACATTGTCGTTATAACCAAGGCCTTCTCTGTTAAAATTTGCTTTTAAAGTAATAGGTTTTCGCAACCCTCTATTGTTTTTGCCCAATGTTTGTCCAGGTCGCCAACCCAGTTTTAATAACATATTTAATGCTTTGTTCCCTTTTACATTGTAAGGGGTCGAATCGGGAACTAGTTCGACCTCTTTAGCTCTAAATTTGGCTCAGGGGCCGTAACATCAGGTTGGTCATTAGTGAAATGTATTTCATGTACTTCATTAACCTTCTTTTTTCCCTCTTCGGGTTTACGCCATGTTTTGTATGATTGTTGTATTTCTTTATGTTTTTGCTCCGTATTATTATTAAACTTCCTCCTTTTCTCATTATAGTAAGGTTCACGACCTTCATCTTGTTTGTCGATGTCATCTAAGTTTTTTAAGAAATCTGTCGTGTCTATTATTGTCTCAATTTTAGCTATTCTCCATAATTGCTGCACAGTTTTAGGATAATGTCTGATGACATCAGTTACTAATTGTTTTTCAGGTATCGGATATGATAATGTTTGTGCCTTCTCAACCACATAAAGAAAATAACTAACCATGGTGGGGTGTGTACTTCTATTCCATTTATTTTGCACAAGGAATCTCTTTACTTTATTTTGTTCTTCTTCACCCCAAAACACTCTTAGGAAGTCAGCTTTAAAATCATCAAAAGTTGTCCAACGCACATTATTAATGCGAGCCCAATACTTGGCTTCACCTACTAAGCACTCTTGTGCAATCGAAATTTCGAGACCATTAGATGGAACTTTCTTTAAATAATTGGTGAGATCTTCCAAAAATGATACTGGATGAGTATTTCCATTTCCGAATTTCGGCTTTTCTATTGTTACATTATGTACATTATATAAAATATTTTGTCTAGGATCATTTACATGAGAGGTGCTCGCCCCGGACACCTCTCCTTGATTTATTTTAATTTGGTAATCTTTTGTTTGGTTAATAAATTTTTCCTCAAGATCCTTTATTTTAACCTCAAAGGTTTTCACTGCATTCTTAATTAATTTCTGAAGCATTTTCATCTCATCTTTAGACTTAGCCTTAATTGAGGTTGATTTTTTCTTATTTTTAGCCATTTTTAATTTTTATTTCTCCTTGTTTTTTTTTTTTTTTTTCACTTTTTGGGTCCTTCACTTACTTTAATTGAGTTTTTCCACTTATTTCACTTGATAATATATAGTATTGCAGTTTTTTTTTTTTTTTTTTTTTTTTTTTTTTTTTTTTTTTTTTTTTTTTTTACAACTGTTGTGTCCTTCGCTTAGTTTAATTGAGTCTTTCCACTTATTTCACTTTTTATTATTTCGCTCCGTTATGCACACACCTATATTATTACTCAATTTTAATATTTAAGCCCCACCCCCAGACTCTCAACCACCCCCAGCAAACACCACTCTCCAAGACACCTCTCCATTTCACGGACAACAAATTGTAGGCATATAGCCTACCTCATAATTTTATATTACCGGCCTCCTATTTAAAATTTAACCTCTATCCTGGTCACGGCACCAAATTGTAACGAACCCCCCCCCATCTTTTTTCTTTTCCACTATATATCCACTTATACTTGTATTTCTTTAGAATCTATATCTGTAAGATATATAAATATATCTAATTTACGTGACCAGTATAACTTGATCTTTCTAAAGGTTTAAATATAGGCCGTTTAATAAATTTATGGCGTGATCGTCTTAGTTAGGACCCTTTTTTACGTTGTGTTTGTATAGTAACTTAGTTCTTTTAGGTGTATCTTGGAAGAATGAATATTCACGAGAGCAATCGAAAGCTGTTGGTAGAGTCTTATAAGCTAAAGAACCCCGTTCACGAAGACAGAGCTCAAAAAAGGTTAAGAACAATAAATTGTCCCTATTCCACTTGTATCTGGTTCACAACAGTCAATTCCTTATTAATTAATCCCTTCCCGCTTGGAAAAGGCTCACAATATTTATATCAAATACCAGTTACAAGGGCTTCGCTCTCCCACATTTTAAAAAAAATGTGGAGGAGGTACACGGCCCCACACACGCCGCGCACGGTGAGCGCCAACCATTTTAATGCGCTCCCCCCAAGGGTACGCAAAGTTGGGAACTGGACCGTAGTCCACAGCAAAATAACTGGCGAACCAGTAAAAGAGGACTTGGCCCCTTGATAGTGCGTAAGCACAAACATCGACCGAAGTCGCGCATGTCAATGCGTGTAAACGCCATACAGAATACGATCAAATCCAGTCACAGTGAATGTACGTCACACGGGTTAGGCAACAATAGGCACACTGACCATAAAAAGCCTTCCGTGAGCGCCACCACCTGCCAGACCGCCGTTCCTGTAGACGTGATGTAAGTGTAAGGCATCACCACCAATTGCATGGTCAGCACGGCCAATTGGCCGCAGAGCGTGTCATGAGTCTACCGCTCACCTCAAGGGAATGGGGTCCCACGTTGCGCGGCTTTCGGCCGCAGCCTTGAGAGCCTCCTCAGATTCTCCCTCCAGCTACCACCCGCATGAGGTCAACACATATGCTCCACCGACCAATACAATGGCAGATATAGCCAATAGGCAGTTATAAGATAATATTAATAATTCGCCATCAGAAAGGGTTTGTGTCTCTGACGTTGAGTATATGCATTTTTCGATCATGTTTGTCTCACCCACCAACAAGTTGCCTTCAATCTCTCAAAGGTGGGAACTTTATAGAGATATATTATTAAGTTGTTATATAAAACATCATGGAGGGCAGACAGTCTGCAGCCCCGCAATGAAGGGACCCGACTTGGGCAAAGCTACTTAGGTTGTGAGTCAAACCAAGACGCAGAGAGCGCCATTGAGAATAGCGACCCGCCAAACAACCATCGTAGAGACGCAACGCTACAGAATGCAACAAGCATCAATACGACTATCGTCGGGCTTACACCATCCCAAGGTCCCCCATACAGTCCCAGCAGACATCACCACCCGCATACCTCCATCGACCAGAACCACAAGATGCATCGAATCAGGTGCAGCACACCCGCAGATCCATCACAAGACACAATACTGCAAGTAGCAGTAAGCATCAATGCAACTATCATACGGATGGCGCCCCCTCACAACACACCCACATGATCCCTATCGACTTTGGTAACAAAATTTGATAATGTTGTTAACTAAAAATACCACCAACGTATCATAGTAGTACGGTACTAAGACGTCAGTAGCCAAAACTCCACGTATCATAGCGCTATTGCACTAAGACATGAAGTTGAGTATGCTTGCTGCACTTAAAAGTACTACCAAACACACTCACCCTAATCCGAAAGATAGCCGACGTATCATAACGCTATGCGCTAAGACGCCGCCCACAACCGGTAGGGGTGTGCGATGTCCACGGGCAAGTCGTATTGCTACAACAAACCCGCTTACCACCGGCACTAAGATGATATGTCTAGGACACATCGGTTAGTGAGTCCAAGTTTACCTCGGTCTCAGAGGCTGCGAAGCAACCTACACGCCACTATAATAATCCTTTTCAAGTCCCATTTCTTTCAATATAATGCTTTTACATATTTGAGACCTTCCACATATTTGCTTTATTTCATAGACCATACTACTGTATGTCTTATTCATATGGGACTTCAAGTCATAACTCTGCTATCATAATGCTTATGCATCATAGAGACCTTCTATATTAATGCTTTGGTTCGTTAGACCTTACTATGTTAAGTCCCTAATATAGGACTAGTCATTGTGCAACCTTAGTACTAGCAGTCGGTCAGCCGACCACCCCATATATATGTACAACATTGGGTATGTGTCTCCGACAACGCCCCAATATAAGGGAACATTACAAGAACACGTTCATTAACTTAGAAATTTTCCAATTATTACACGAACTCCTTCATCAACTTAGAAAATTTTAATCCATTTTTTCTATAATATTACAAATGTTATTTATCTTTGTTATTGCAATATAATCGCCTTGTATTTATATGATTTGATATATTTTGAACATTTTAAGCAGGTTTTTAATAAATTTAGAGATTTTTTGAGACATTTTATGCGTTTACTAATATATATAATATTCAATATTCCAAATGGATATTTTTGAACTCTATGCTTATTATTTGCATTTTATTGTTTAAATTATAATTTCTAAGACATTTTTAAATGTCTGTATAATGAATTTAATTATTATTTATTAATAATAATTATGAGGCGTCACACTATGTTTTAATCTATTTTGACTTGAGCTAACGTACATCATTTTAGTTTTATTCGAATTAAGTACTAGACCTGCGTCATGTGACTACTGCATGAACTTCGTAAAGTCTTCTTGTAACAGTTTTACCTCCTTATCCATTGTTACGGCTCCTAGATGCCCCTGCAAAGGTCGCCTTGGCTAGGGCCCATAGTAGCCTCCTCGACGGGCAGCCGAGGGTTCGGGCCCAATTAGTCTTATGAACATTGACATATCATACTACACAATAGGGAGAAGGCTAGGTTAATAAATAGTACGTACCTGGATCATATGCTAAGACCGCACCAAGGCTCGGTCAGGCCGTAGGTAGTTGTAAGTGCATGTAAAGTGGTGTTTAGTGGTGTGTATATTTATGTGACCTGGCCCAGCTGAGGTGACCGGGCAGCGGCCTGGTCCCATGCTGCCCCTTAATGCAGTAGTTCAAAGTTCAATATTCAAGGTTCCGGATTCATTTATCACCAAATTACAAATAGGGATATAACGTGATCTCTTCACGAGTCACAAAGTTCAGCGTTACAACCAACAACTAAATTCCTTCGTACTATATTAAATACTACGCCGCAATAAGAATTAAAAATCAACCTAGCTGACACGCAAAGTATCTAAATAGTCAACACATAAAAGGCTCTTAACGCGACGGTACAATTGCAACGAAATTACTCCAATCACTCAAATTCAAAATAAGCCTCTTGTCACGAACGTACAACTTAGACAAACTAAACCGAGGCGGTCTTCACGAAACCACAATTCAGTAGCGAAGTAACGCGCACAAATACTAAAAATCTTGACCATAAAACCAAAAAACTGGTCGCGCGAAATATATGCAGCGGTAACCAAAATACGCTAATTGCCATACTACGACCCGGCCGCCGCTGGCGACAAAATCTGCCCTATCTACCACGCGTCCGGCGCGTGCGGGGAGGCGCGCGCGAGCCGCGTACCAGCCGGTGCTAGGTACATCTGAGCAGCGCGCCGACGCGCTCCATCATGATGTTTTTAAATTTTAGCATTTGGCGCAAACATCCATATTGTGGTGGGCTACCACCAGACATGTATCGTCGGCATATTGGAAAATTTTTGAGTTTTTAATGAATTTCTTGATATCATTCACGTAAGTGATGTAGTATAGCTGTCCTAATACTGAACCCTGTGCTGTACCTTCACTTACCAAAACTTTATTACTTAATACCATACCTTGACATAAAAGGAACGATTTTTGAGATAATCTCGACACCAGTCAAGCATCGGCCATCTAATTCCACAGTCGTCTAGTCGCTCTAGCAGTATGTCATGACGTAAAGTATCGAACGCGCTACTATCGTCGTTAAATAACAGCAATACATGTTTTCTTTCATTAGGATTTTCATATATGTGTAAAGAAATTACATGTCTTTAAGTTTTGTAATTGCTTATTAAATTCTTTTATGGTTAGTCGATAAAGCAGAAACAATTTACTTCGCTACTTGATAGATGGCGCTGTCAAAGTATTTGAGTGGACTGTAGATAAAGCAGACGGTTTCGAAGATGGCGTCAGTAAAATGTTAAAATTGTAAAACACGTAAACAATCGGATAATAATAAAAGAACTAATAAAGGGAATCGACAAGTGTAATAACTTTTAATGTCGTTTCTTTGTTTTTTCAGGTATGTTTAGTGATTATTGTAAGGTGTAGTTAAGTGAAAAATACAAATGTACAAATAATTTATACTAATAAAACTTTGTTTTTTCAGAGCAACACAAACGTTTATTTCACCGATTCCCTATAAATTACACGAACTGTCTTATAAAACGACATTTCTAGTTAAAGAAAATGGAGAAGTTAAGATTTACTTTTGCGGTATTAGCGGCAAGTGATGGCAAAACAAATGTAATCTGCATAACCTCAATTCAAACACCCGATGGACGTAATTATAATGTTCCGGATGAAATGAAGCCTGCAAGCAAACACACGAGTATTGTGAGCACAGAGGTATTCACGAAGGTCAAGAATTCTCTAAAAAAAGACATCAAATACGTAAATTGTGGATTCCATTATCTCCGGAATTGAAAAAAATCTATTTAGATGAAGGCGAAAATTTGCAGTTTGTAGATCAATATTTAGATGAAATTGCAGAGAAATCCAGACCACTAGTTCACAAAAACTGCGACGTCGGGTCTGGAAATAAAAACCTAGGAAAAACATCTGAAAAATTTTTAATTGAGAAATTTTCAGGAAAAAATTCCAATGTGAATCAATGGATAGGTGAATTTGAGAATGAGTGTGAACGATTCGAAATACTACAGGATACAGAGAAAATTGAGACTTTAAAGTATCTACTAGAGAAACAATGCCATGATTGGTACACTAGTATGTTGATAAAATTCACTGTAAATTCAGAATAGACTGTTTGGAAAAATAACTTTACTGAGACATACGGAAATAAAGGTTGGTCACAGGTTTAATATGCATTTGCCTATAAATTTCAAGCGGGTTCAGCACTGGAATATGCTACGAAAAAGGAAAGGCTGTTATTAGAGGTAAATAAACACATAGATACACAGACGATGATAAATCTTATCGCAACTGGCCTACCAGATTACATATTGGGCAAAATTGATAAGGAATCTATTACATCCACTGCAAGTCTTTTCAATGAAATTGGTAAATTTGAGCATACAACAAATAAACATACCTACTATAAACCAAAACGAGACACATTTGAAAATAAAGGAAAATCTGATAAATATCAAGCCTGCAAAATCTGTGAAAATTTGAACAAGGGAACTCGTTATCACCCAGAAGAAAAATGCTGGTTTAAAAAAAGTGAGCAACAAGAAAACAAGAGAAATCACTACAGGAATATAAACAATACTATATTAGATCTTGAATTAAATGATAAAGATCCAAAAAACTAACAATCACACCATTAATCAAAGTCAAACTTACATTAGATGAAAAACTAAACGTTTTTGGCATATATGATTCAGGATCTAATGTGTCCTTGATTAATTCCAAATTAGTAAAACTAAAACAAGAAGAAGGAAAAAGAGAGTTTAGTAATGCAAATTTAGTAACAATTAATGGTGTGAAGAGTACAGGAGGTTTGACAACAATAAAGATTAAAATACTAAACATAGAAAAAAAATGCGACGTGTATATTGTGGATGGAAAAGATTTTCAATATGATTTCCTTATTGGACTAGACATGATAAAAGAGTTTAGATTAGTTCAGAATGAAAACCTGGAAATCACACAAAAAACCAAAGACAACACTGATATGGAACTAAATGAGAAATTGACTTCTAAGGAAGGTAAGAGTAATGCATAATTTTACTCTAATAAATTCTCTATAAATTTCAATCAACATGTAAATGAAAAAAATTTTGAGATAAAAATGGGTAATTTAAATGCTCAACAAGAATTTGAAATAAATACACTGATTGACAAATATAAATCGAGTTTTGCGAAGGATAAATACGACATTGGAACAGTAAGAGACTATGAAGCACATATCGACCTCCTAACGGACAAATACTGTAGTAAAAGGCCCTATAGATGTTCAATGGAGGACAAAAAAGAGATAGAAGAACAGGTGGCAAAATTACTTCAAAAAAATCTTATAGAAGAATCATACAGCCCGTTTGCAGCACCTGTAACTTTAGCTTTTAAGAAAGAAGATAATAAAAGAAACAGATTATGTATTGATTTCAGAGATCTCAACAAAATAGTAACACCACAAGCTCAACCATTCCCGTTAATTGAAGACTTGGTAATAAAAACAAGAAACTGCAAGTACTTCTCAACATTAGATATTAACTCTGCATTTTGGTCCATCCCACTGCGAATTGAAGACAGAAAAAAAACAGCTTTTGTTACACAAGAAGGCCACTTTCAATGGACGTGTCTACCCTTCGGCTTGAAAACCTCTCCCGCAATATTTCAAAGAATCCTGAGCAACATACTAAGAAAACATCAATTAACTGATTTTACAGTTAATTATATAGATGATATCCTGGTGTTCTCAAAGTCTTATAATGAACATATAAACCATTTATCACAATTACTGGAAGCAATAAAACAAGAAGGATTTCGACTAAAATTTACAAAATGTACGTTTGCGTCGAATTCTGTAAAATATCTTGGACACATAATAGAAAATAATACAGTTCGACCAGTCAGAGATAATTTAATTTCAATAAGAGAATTCCCTACGCCAAAAACTCTGAAAAATGTCAGACAATTTTTGGGGAAAATTAATTTCTACCATGAATACATACCCAAGAGCACAATTATATTAGAGCCCCTATATAATTTACTGAGGAAAAATCAAAAATTCATTTGGTCAACGGACTGTAAAAATTCATTTGAAGAAATAAAAGATTTACTTTGCTCACAACCCATCTTGGAAATTTATGATCAAAACTTGCCAGTAAATATATACACAGATGCATCATTGGAAGGTATTGGAGCAGTGCTAAAACAAATTCAGCCAGACGGAAAAGAAAAGCCAGTAGCCTATTTTTCAAGAAAATTAAATGAATCCCAAAAGAAGAAGAAAGCAATATACTTAGAATGTCTGGCTATTAAAGAAGCAGTACGATATTGGCAATATTGGTTAATAGGGAAACCATTCACAGTATATTCAGATCACAAACCGTTGGAGAACATGAATGTTAAATCTAGACCTGATGAAGAATTGGGAGAACTAGTGTATTATTTATCGCAGTATGACTTTCAGATAAAATATGCTCCAGGTAGAGAAAATTTGGAAGCAGATTGCTTAAGCAGAAACCCGGCACTGAATGAAAATGAAGATATTGATGAACAATTAAAAATAGTAAATTTGGTAAAATTAGAAGATGTCATCACAGATCAAGAGAAAAATAAAGATATACATGATAACAAGAATAATTTGACATACAAAAACAACATATTTTATAAAAAAGTAAAAAAACATTAAAAAATAATACTGTCGGAAGATTTCAGTATAAAATTTATAAAAAATATTCATGAAAATATGTGTCACATAGGTGTAAGATAGATGCAAAAAGCAATTGGTACAAGATATACAGCAAAAAAATTAACAGCAAACATAAATAATATTTGTAAAACTTGCGATATATGTATAAAGAATAAAACAAGAGGACAAGCTAAATATGGCCTAGTGTCACACTTAGGACCCGCCACAAAACCATTTGAAATTATCTCCATAGACACAATTGGAGGCTTCGGAGGCTCGCGGTCGATGAAGAGATATCTACATCTTCTAGTGGATCACTTCATTCGTTACGCATATATACTAACCTCGAAGACACAGAATGCAAAGGACTTCATAAAACTGGTTAGTAATATAACGAACTTAAATGATATCGATATTATTCTCGCAGACCAGTACCCTGGAATAAATTCAAAGGAGCTTAAGACGTTTTTGAATGACAAATCAATTGCGCTAGTTTTCACCGCAGTAAATTCACCATTTTCAAATGGCTTAAATGAGCGATTAAATCAAACGCTGGTCAACAAAATAAGATGCCAGATAAATGAAAAACCTAACACCATAGCATGGACAACAATTGCTCATAACTGCCTAAGTAAATACAACGACACGGAGCATACGGTCACCGGCTTCGCACCGAGATACCTACTAGATGGGACAGATGTTACAATTGTGCCAAATGAATTAAAACAAGGCAAAAGAATAGAGGAATGGATTGAAGATAGGAAAAAAGCGTTACAAAATACAATAAAATCTCATAACTATAATAAAATGTTGATTGACAGAAAAAGAAAAGACTATAGTTTTAATAGGGGTGATTTGGTATATGTTGAGAATGGACATAAATTAAATAGGAAAAAACTGGATGAGCTAAGGATTGGACCTTTTAAAATTGAAGAAAAAATATCATCTTCAATATATACAATAGATACAGGACACAGAAAATCCGAGTCAAACCTTTTTCACGTCACAAAGCTCATTCCAGTTCCTAAATAAAGAACCGAGTTAAGAACATGATGTACAACGAGTGTGATTTAGTTATAACAATTATAATAATTGTAAGTAAGTTTAGGTATTGTTACCGAAAATTTCGATGAAATTTTCAGCCCTGGGGGAGGAGTTGTAAAGAAATTACATTTTTTTAAGTTTTGTTATTGTTTATTAAATTCTTTTATGGTTAGTCGATAAAGCAGAAACAATTTACTTCGCTACTTGATAGATGGCGCTGTCAAAGTATTTGAGTGGACTGTAGATAAAGCAGACGGTTTCGAAGATGGCGTCAGTAAAATGTTAAAATTGTAAAACACGTAAACAATCGGATAATAATAAAAGAACTAATAAAGGGAATCGACAAGTGTAATAACTTTTAATGTCGTTTCTTTGTTTTTTCAGGTATCTTTAGTGATTATTGTAAGGTGTAGTTAAGTGAAAAATACAAATGTACAAATAATTTATACTAATAAAACTTTGTTTTTTCAGAGCAACACAAACGTTTATTTCACCGATTCCCTATAAATTACACGAACTGTCTTATAAATGTTATCGGTAAATAGGGAAAGTAACTGAGTAGTGCTTTTTTTGGGTTGAAATCCAAACTGTGTCATTAAGAATATTATTCAGACTATTATCATCATCATCATCATTACAGCCTTTCATAAGTGCACTGCTGAACATAGGCCTCCACCAAGCAATGCCACAAAGTACGGTCCTGAGCCACCTGCGTTGTTGACTATTTGTCCCAGGTAAACATACTCGTCAACAACTTCGAGCTTAGTGCTCCCAACAAGAGGACTGACGAGAAGATCATGGAGCTGGAAGAATAGATAGACAAGTTACACTGGCATATGATAGGATTATCCGAAGTCCGAAGAGAGGGGGAGGACAAGGTAATCCTCGAAACCGGCAACTTGCTCTATCACCGGCAGGGCGACCATCTATCCCAAGGAGGTGTCGCACACAAGTCTCTCGTTAACAACGTTGTAAAGATTGAGAGTGTGTCGACGAGGGTTCCGTATCTTATACTCAGAATCACCAAACGGTATTCGCTGAAGGTTATACAGGTTTACGCACCAACCTCGGTACACCCCGATGAGGAGGTGGAGGAAATGTATTAGGATATCTCTAGAGCCATGCATTCCTCCAAAACCCAATATACGGTGTTAATAGGAGACTTCAATGCAAAACTAGACACAAGAGAGCACGGTGAGCTGAAAGTAGGGAAATTTGGAATAGGGCAACGAAACCCAAGGGGCCAGAAGCTGGCCTACTTTATGGAGAAAGAGGGACTCTTTATGATGAACTCTATTTTCCAGAAGCGGTCCCACAGGAAGTGGACCTGGTCGAGCCCCGACGGTTCCACAAAAAATGAGATAGACTTCATTATGACGACAAGATGACAACTGTTCAGTGATGTCTCCGTCATCGCGAGGGTGAAAACTGGTAGCGATCACCGAATGGTTAGAGGCACACTGAACCTAAACGTTAAGTTGGAGAGGTCTCGTCTAATGAAGTCAATGCTCCGTCCCCCTCGTGCTCTGTTCTAAAGTCCCAAAACCTTTTAGCTCGAGTTACAAAACCGTTTTCACTGCCTAGAAGACTGCAATGAAGTGGAAGATATGAATGACAAGCTCGTGGAAACTGTCCATGCGGATGGAGCTAAGTTCTGCAAGACCCGCCGCTGAAGAACACAATAACTCTCCGATCACACTCTTAATCTCATGGCTGTTAGACGGGAGATGAAGCTACATTCTTCAACAGATTTGACAGCATACAGGCAACTGAACAGACAGCCTGAGCCACCTGCGTCATCAACTTCCTGCATGTCTTACCAGGTCACTCTGCACACTGCCACTCAAGAACTTTGGAACAGAGCACGAGGGGGACGGAGCATTGACTTCATTAGACGAGACCTCTCCAACTTTACGTTTAGGTTCAGTGTGCCTCTAACCATTCGGTGATCGCTACCAGTTTACACCCTCGCGATCACGGAGACATCACTGAACATTTGTCGTCTTGTCGTCATAATGAAGTCTATCTCATTTTTTGTGGAACCGTCGGGGCTCGACCAGGTCCACTTCCTGTGGGACCGCTTCTGGAAAAAAGAGTTCATCATAAAGAGTCCCTCTTTCTCCATAAAGTAGGCCAGCTTCTGGCCCCTTGGGTTCCGTTGCCCTATTCCAAATTTCCCTACTTTCAGCTCACCGTTCTCTCTTGTGTCTAGTTTTGCATTGAAGTCTCCTATTAACACCGTATATTGGGTTTTGGAGGAATGCATGGCTCTAGAGATATCCTAATACATTTCCTCCACCTCCTCATCGGGGTGTACCGAGGTTGGTGCGTAAACCTGTATAACCTTCAGCGAATACCGTTTGGTGATTCTGAGTATAAGATACGGAACCCTCGTCGACACACTCTCAACCTTTACAACGTTGTTAACGAGAGACTTGTGTCCGACACCTCCTTGGGATAGATGGTCGCCCTGCCGGTGATAGAGCAAGTTGCCGGTTTCGAGGATTACCTTGTCCTCCCCCTCTCTTCGGACTTCGGATAATCCTATCATATGCCAGTGTAACTTGTCTATCTCTTCTTCCAGCTCCATGATCTTCTCGTCAGTCCTCAGGGTGCGTGCGTTGTATGTTGCCAGGTAGTGTCGTCTTAGGTGGCAACCGAACCTCCACCAGAGGTTCTTAGCACCTCCTGCCCCGCCGTTACCATGGTCGCCACCGTAGCCACGAATAGCGGGGCCGCCGGGGACTAGGGGCCATTTCTTCGTTACTGTCATTTTATAGGGGGGTATTTGCCTTAGTTGCCACGCTTGGCGAGCGAGTTGGCAACCGAAGTTTTTTTATTGTAAGTTTGTTGTTATCAGGAAGATGCTGCTGCCCATCTCCTGCCAGTTCCCCTTTGTCGCCTTTTACGACACCCACGGGAAGATATGGGGTAGTCGATATTCTTGACCGTTACTACACGGCGGATTATTCAGACCATAAACTTTGTAAATTTCTCTTGCTATGTATTTTTCTATATTCCTGTCTAGTATAGGCAATGTAGTTATAGGGCGGTAATTATCGTAGTCCTGTTTACTTCCCTTTTTATATAGGTCTCACGATTCCAGTTTTCAGTTCATCTGGATATTTATTAGTCCTTATACTAGCGTTAACCAATTTTTCAACAGTCTGAGCAATTTCTTTGCAAATTTACTTTATAACTATCGCCCGTACTTTGTCAAAAACCGGGGCTTTATTAACGTTTATTGTTTTTATAAATTTAAGGATGTCTTTGGGTGTTGCTTTTCGAAAATTAATTGTTACGTTCACAGGTTGTCTGTATTCTATTTTATCTAAAATATTATTTATACATTGAGGTATTATATTTTGAACACCACTATGAAATTTATTCGCAAAGCTATTTGCAATAATGCTTTTATATTTGTTTTTGCCTCCAAACGCATTTAGGAGAACTGTATCTACTGTTTTACGTACCCTACCTGTTATTCTATTTAGAATAAACCAGTTGTTATAAATGATCTTTATATTTTAATTAATTTCATAATAGATATATTTATGTTTGGAGGATCTGATTAACATATTTGCATAGTTTAGCGCTTTATTATAAAGTGTTTTTAATATTTTATTACTATTATCTTTGATCCATTGGAATAATAGTTTATCTATATACTCGCAAGCTTATATAATAGGTGAACTTATCCATTTATTTTCGGTATGTTTTTTATTGGTGTTTTTAATTTTAGCATTCATTTATATTTTTATATATATATATATATATTTTTGTAGTATAGTATCTAAACCAACCATGTCATCAACTACCTTCCAGTTAATATTATTTAATGAACATTTTAAACTTTCATTGTTATATATATTTATAAGTAGTTTCATCCTGTGAACTCGCATGAGTTTAACTCACACAGGCAAGCACTAACGCCCGGTGGTCCATCATCATCATCA